AGTAGCCTGGATTGTTTAGGGCTGATTCTTGTGTTCACTCAATCTAGAGAAGCTAAATAAAGTATAAAATATGTTTTTGTGGTGCTATTGGAAGGTAACAAAAGCAAGGGAAAGAGTAAGAGTAGAGGCAACATCTGACAAAGTAGAAAGGACAGGTTTCTAATGATTCACATGGCTTTATCAAGAGGGGACAGTCAGAGAAAATTGCTGTGACTAAAAATCTGACAAACTGAGCACATTGCACGCAATCTCTCAGAGCAAGTACACAATGGAATTCTGTATCCTCCCAATAGAGTTCCCATGAAAACATGCATCTGGGCCTGCGTGTGAGGGCATTTCAAGAGGTCCTATAGAGACCTAAGCACCACCCTTTAGGAGGAAGAATGGACCAACATCAAGTCATGTCAGTTCAGGATTTGATGACGGCAGTCTGCTGTTTAGCAAAAACAAAAGTATTTCACCCAAGAGAAGATGACATCTCTCCTGAACAGTGTTCTGTAGTCAATCAAAGTGAACAATATAATGCTTGGTGGAAAATCAACAGAACAAAACAAACAGTTAAGAATGTATTGAATTAGACAGAGCTATAGGAAAATATGTAGTCTGCCACAGAGAGTATCAAAGGATTAGAAATAGAGAAAACTGTTAGAGATATGTGACAGTCAAAACCTTTGGCAGGATGGTAGCTGGGACCTCAGACAGAAGAGATGGGGAAGGGATATGATATTCAAATATTTCATGTCTAAAGATTTTTTAAATTGACTTCAAAATACATAGTTAAGTATCACAAAACCATAAACAGAGGCATATTACAAACACATTTTTGAAAGGAAGATGAAGTCTTAAGAAAAAAAACAAGGGAGGGGGAAGGCTAATTATTTTTAAGAGAAAACCAGTAAGGTTTAAAGCTGAATTATCAACAACTATCAAATGGAAGTCTGACTACAACAAGATGTCCTTAAACTTCTAAAGTTCACCACTATGGTGGCTGATCTTCTAAAGTGGATGGAGAGTTCCCATGAAAACATGCATCTGGGCCTGCGTGTGAGGGCATTTCAAGAAAGGTTGAATTAAGTAAGTCAGACTCACACTAAATGTGGGTTATGCCATTCCATGGGATCCTAAACTGAACTAGAGAGAGGAAACGAGCTGAGTGTCAGTCAGCTCTCCTCCATCACACCTTTCCTGATATGATAGACCAAAACTAAGAACATGCTAAAAAATATACTCCTCTTGCTGGGTTTAAAGGCGTGAGCCACCAATGCCCAGCTCCTCTTGTTTTCGCATGTGTTTGGTTGAAGTAATGAGGTAATGATAAAATATAATAATAATAATAATAATAATAATAATAATAATAATATATACTATTAGTAATATAATAACTAAGAGATAAATGGTGTAAATCTATTATCAAAGTGAGGCATTATACATTGCTCAATATCTGATATAAATATCAGAATGATGAACATTTAGAAAGAATATAAAATACCTGGTTAAAAAAATAACTCAAAGGACCATTTTGGAACACTACACCTACCAACCATAGTCTTTTCAAGTATGCACAGAAATTAACAAATTAGTTGTGTGTAGCTCACTGAGCAAGCTTCAGCAAATTTAAAAGAATTTATCTTTATTCAGGGAAATTCTGTCATATCAATGAAAAAGAAACTTGGAAATGTTCAAAATCTTGAAAAGCAACTGCTTGTTTTGTTTTTGGTTTTTGTTGTTGGTTGTTTTTTATGAATTGTGGTTCATATTAGTTTGCTTTCAATTGCTGTGATACAACACTGTGGACCAAAAGAAATGCAGAGAGAAGGATTTACTTGGATTACAAGTCCCAGTTATATTTCATCATGAAGGGCAGTGAGGGCAGGATCTCTAGACAGGAACCTAAAGGCAGAAACTGAAGCAAAAGCCAAGGAGGAATGTCTGGCTGGCTCAGCTTGCTTTCTTACATATCTCAGGCCCACCTGCCCAGGAACGGCAGCTGTCCAAAGTGAGCTGGGACCTTCTACAACAACCATTAATCAAAAATGCCCCAGGACATGTTTATAGGCCAGTCTGATGGGGGAGCACCTTCTCATTTGAGATTCTATTTTCCCAAATCTTGTATCAAGTTGACAAAAAGCTAATCAGCATGTGATTTAAAGACTGTAAATTTAAAATGTCAAAATGGATACTGAAAACAAAGCATGGAAACATCCTGAAAAGCTGGGGAAAGAAAAGCAAATTAAGGCCAAAGAAATTCAAAGGGAAGAAATAAAAAGAAATGCACTCATCCGTTGGGCACCCGGAGCCTTGTGCCTAGTGTCACTCTCAAATAAGAGGAGCCAGCTCCACCACACATGGCAGATTTCAGACCTAGAGCAGCTCTTAGTGCCAGAGGGGAAAAGACGTGTTTCAAGGCAATCCATGACAGGGCACTGCCAAAGAGACAAGTGTATAAAATGTAAGAGCTTCCAATGGCCTGATATAGAATGATCTGAGTCATAACATAGCCCTGGTATGTATCAGGTTAATCTCTATGGATCCATACTGACATAAAGGAAGGATTGCATAGAAAAAAAAGGGAGAGATTCTCTGAAAAGAAGCTTGCTAATTTGTGTGAATAATCCCCTCAGAGGGGAGCATGATTTCCACCCATTATATGTAGCTCTGATGAAGTGTCAACAAGGCTACATCAGGCTGGAGAACAAGAAGTGTTTACAGTTATGATGTCATACTAATAATAAACACCCTTGATGTCACATGGTGA